ATACAGTCTAAATCTTTTTGGTCTTAAAGAGAAGCTATTACTGTCTTAAATTACAATAGCATTTCAATGTCCCATTAAAATCATTACAAGAAAAAATTAAACCTAGTTCCTTGGCCATGCTTTGGCAAACTTCTTCTCACCCCTCACGTTGGGGTCTTGGTGACAACATTATGCTGCAGAAGTAGTGCTATGCAGTAAGTGGCTTCTTTGTCTTCTTGCTGTTGTTTGCTTAATTGAAGGAGATGAGATGAGCAGGCTGAGTTGAGCGTGTTGAGACATTCATGATGTTGAAGTTGAGATGGGAGTAGTGTGCTGCTTTCTTAATTCAGAGAGATTTATAATCTTATTTCATAATTCCACTGGAGGTGCAAGACTCCTCCTTTGGGGCATGGCTGGATTTCACCCTTTCATTGGTTGATGGATGGTACAGATAGCCTCTTTAGCTCATGAATATGCATTTTGTTAATGTAAATGCAACAAGAGTTGTAACTGTCTGTTTAGTAGAGGGAAATCTCAGAACATCTGTTAAATTTAGAGTTTTAATTCTTTCTTGTATTCAGTCCATTTTCTGAAATACTCTTTCGTTTCATTAGGCTTTCATGAGAGTTGAGGTTTTGTTCATGTAAGTCCAAAACCCCTTGTATCATCTATAAAAGCAATTTATTAGCTTTCAAAATAGTTTCTTCAAACTTGAATAATTGTTAAATAAAGTCTTTTACACTTACACAATCAAATAAATTATTGTCCCTTCTCTTAATCTTTGGAGAGGGGGCTCTTGTCTTTTTAAGTTTGATAGGGCAGTTGCTTAAGCACTGCCAGATACATAATTAAATTCCCCAATTAACAACAATATTTTATATGCAAATGGCTTTTATATATTAGTAACCAGTGATAGGACCAAGTGACCTTGCGATATCTGTGCATAAAACATCTATCTATATTTATATAAACGCAAAACTTTAGTAAATAAACATCTCAGAGCAGCTTAAGCTGTTTCTAAGCATTTAAGGAATAAATGATTTTCTACATTTCCCAACAATACCTGTTTTCCTTAAAGTTATGTAAAGATTTCAGAGTGTTTATAGAAGGAATCAATTTTTAATTAAAATATTCCTAGAATTCTTTGTATGAGTTTTAAACTGAAATTTTTCCTCTGTGAAGAGAGAAGGAGAAGAGAAGAGGCTCCAGCCTTGGTCTTTGTGGCATTGACCAACGAGGTGCTACACACCACTTCTCTCTCAACTCTGAGAAAAAGAACATCTTCATGTTTCTTGACAAGTGGGCGGTGTCTGGCTCTTTGACAGACATTCCTCATGGATGTTGCCCTGTTATCTAAATAGTTCCAAAAAGTGGGATCTACAATAACTTCACCCACAGTTCACAATTAAAAACTCCTATGAAACAAACTCTGCAAAAACAAAGCTGCTTGTGCCTGTCACTTATTGGGAGAAATCAGAGATTTCTTCTGTTTTTTTTTTAATTAGCCTGAACACTTTAATAAAACAATCAACTGAAAACATAAGTATATAAATTATTTTCCAAGCACCATGTGTATACAAGTACTTACAAATACTGCTATTTCTTCAAGTTTAGTTAAGGTGTGGAAAAGTTTGTAACAACCTAACATGATATGAATAAATTATAACTTTAATAATAACCATTTTTGTGTCAATATTGACGTTTATCTCTCACAGTGGGTATTGCCCCTATTTTACCAGTGAGGAAACAGACAAAGGCCCAGATCCTCAAAGGTATTTAGGCACCTAACTCCCATTAGGTCTTTGTCTAAATCAGCGGCTCCCAACCTTTCCAGACTACTGTACCCCTTTCAGGAGTCTGATTTGCCTTGTGTACCGCCAAGTTTCACCTCACTTAAAAACTACTTGCTTACAAAATCTGATATAAAAATACAGAAGTGTCACAGCACATTATCACCGAAAAATTGCTTACTTTCTCGTTTTTACCATATCATTGTAAAATAAATCAGTTGGATTATAAGTATTGTACTTACATTTCAATGTATAGTATATGGAGTGGTATAAACAAGTCATTGTCTGTATGGAGTTTTAGTTTGTACTGACTTCACTAGTGCTTTTTATGTAGCCTGTTGTAAAACTAGGCAAACGTCTAGATGAGTTGATGTACCCCCCTGGAAGATCTCTGGTCCCCCCAGAGGTACGTGTACCCCTGGTTGAGAACCTCTAGTCTAAATGACTTACTCAAAGTCACAGAGGGCTCAACTGTGTTTGTAAGGGCCGGCAACTGGGCTACAGTCCTTTCCTGAGCTCACCTGTACACAGGGGGTTCACAGATTATGCTGTGATGCAGACTTCTTCCTTCAGTACCAAGGGACCATGCTCTCATAACCTTCCCAACCCTTTGAGGACGTCTGTCCACAGGCATGCACTGAGGAGGCAATCTACGGTCCCTTGACTGCAATTATCCCTGGATTTCACACATGGCATGCAATGGCTGCAGAAACTCAATGTAAGGAGCTGATGATATGAGCTTTGCCTCATTTTATAGGCTGTATTTACCAAAGCAGCTGCATGAAATCATCTTAATTTCCTAGGACACTCTTTGCATATAAACCCAGATTTTTTCTATGATTTTGGCCAGTTAAATTGACGGTCGTATTTTCACCCTTTCTGCTGGTGAAGGCACCAGAATCCAAGCTCATGAACAGACACTGGGTATCCATGTGTGAATGGTCAGGCTACTCAGTAAATGTAATATGTGATTCATCTACCACTACACTTGCTCCTGCACTGAACTACGGGGAATGGGGGCATTTCCTTGCCTACAGCAGGTCTCCTTTTTTGTGGCTTGGGTTCTTAGAGGAGAGGTAGTGTTTCATTTCCTTTGGTTCTGGGACTGATTGATAAATGACAGAAAGTATGATGCATTAACACGTTGTGGTCTTTACTGTCCTGGTACATACCTCACTGATACAATGAGCTCAGAGTTACCAGCTAGAATTGTAGCATCAGCAGAAATGGTGCTCATTTAAACCACCAGTGGAGAAAGGCTAGAGCCAGTGTGGGACTGACATGGGTCAAGCTGCTCACGACGTGATTTGCTGTATTTCAATTTAGCTTGACATTAGAAGTGAAAGAGCATATTAAAGAAAATCACCTAGTCCTTGTCAGCATCAGGAATGTTTGCATCAGAGGGTGGCAGTGACGCTGATGTAGCTGTAATAGAGCAGCACACCCTGATCTACCTGCACTCCATTGGAAGTGACATTTTGAGGAGGGCAGCTTGGTGACAACCCTGTTTTACGCTGGTGAAATGAGTCTACACGAGGGGTTTGCCCCAGTGGAGCTACATCTGTTAAGCTACAATGGTACAAAAACGCCCTGATGCAGACAAGACCTTAGACCAGGGATCGGCAAGTTTTGGCATGCGGCCCGTCAGGGAAATCCGCTGGCAGGCCGGGACGGTTTGTTTACCTGCAGCATCCGCAGGTTTGGCCGATGGCAGCTCCCACTGGCTGCGGTTCGCTGTTCCAGGCCAATGGGGGCTGCGGGAAGCAGCGGCCAGCACATTCCTCGGCCCGCGCCACTTCCCGCAGCCCCCATTGGCCTGGAGCGGCGAACCGCGGCCAGTGGGAGCTGCGGTCGGCCGAACCTGCGGACACGGCAGGTAAACAAACCGTCCTGGCCTGCCAGCGGATTTCCCTGAGGGGCCACCTGCCAAGGTTGCCGATCCCTGCCTTAGACACTGTGGGCCAGGGCGTGGCAGGTGTTGAGCTCTCCCCGAGGCGCTGCGTGCCCTTGACTGAAGCTCGAAATAAGCTGGTACCAGCCTAGACAACACACTCCACCTTTCTGTAGATACTGTGTTGTTCTCCAGAATCTCAGGTTTCAGTCTTCTTCAAAGAAATCTCCACCTGGTGTGGCTGTGAAGAAAACCACAAAAAAGTGTCCTTGACTAACTGATGCAGAGATGAACTATTTGAGTTTGCAGAGAGCCTGGAACAACAGGGAGGGGCAAACTGCCCCATTCATCTAGTGATGATGATGTCTGTCAACAGTGTGAAGTCGGTCACCGCAGCGGAAAGAAAGGAGATGGAAGATCAGAGACCTGGACAACGCAGTGAGACAGGTGCTGGAACAATTTGTAGAGTGGGGGCGCTGAGAGCCATTGAACTAAACCGTAAACCCTGTATGAGATGGAAACCATTTCAAGCCAGGGGTTGCAGCCGCCCCCCTCCCGCCCCAGTTCCAGCACCCATGCACCTAGGGTGTGTGTCTCATTTTAGCGCTACAAGTGGGTAGCGCTTTAGAGATTCCGCTACTTATTCCGCCACACTCAAGAAGCCAGGCAGAGCCCATGGTTACACTCAAGCACAGCCAAGGTGGAGCCCAGCAGAGCAGACTGCTGCATGAGCCTATTTTAAACATCTGCATCATCTCCCCGGAGCGGAGCCTGGTGTTGTCCACAAGATGCCTGGGCACAGCCTCCCGTTAGGGGCACAGCTGACTCCCACCACCCTCCCTTCCTCACTCTCAGCCGCCCCGCTACAGCCAGGGGAAGTGGGGGGGCCGCAGGACCACGCCGCGGGGGTGGGGCGTGGGCTCGGACAACGCCCCAGAAGAACGGCAGGGGCCCTGCAGCTTCCCCCGACCCCGCACCCCTTTCCCCGGGGGCCCTGTGTAGCGCGCCCACCCCCTTCTTCCCGGCGCTGGCCCCTGCACCGATGGGTCCCGGCCCCAAACTCTGCGTCCGAAGCGGAGCGTGTTGCCCGCACTTTGCAACCGGGGGCGGGGAGCTGCCCAGCAACTACTGACGACGGCCGCGGGCATCTCCCCTGAGCCAGCGTGTGTGTGTGGGGGGGGGTTGGGGGGAGGCGGGAGCTCCCCGCCCCCCCCATCGCTCCGCGGGCCCCCGCCTCTCCGGGGAGCGGCCGCGGTATCCCCGCAGGGGACGGAGGGGCGGCACCTGGCCGCCCAGGCGGCTCCTCCAGCCCGCTTCATAAGCGGGGAGGCTGCGGTGGCGCGGCTCAGCCCAGCTCGCGCTCCGGTCGCCGCCGGCTCTGCTGGCCATGGCGGGTCTGGCGCTGCTGCTTCTCCTGGCGGTAGGTGCGGGGGTGTCCGTGGGGGACAGGGCGCCCCGTGGTGGCTGGGCAGGGCGCGTTCGGGCACCGTGCGCTGGAAGAGGCTGGAGCTGTGCCCAGGCAGCGGATGCGGGAGCTGGGGAAGCTCCGGAGAAAGGCTCCGCAGCCTGCAGATGGGTCTCCCTTTCCCCCCGTGGAAAGGATACACGGAGTCTGCCTCGGCTTCCCCCGCACCGGTATGAGTAATTCAGTGCCACCAGCAACCCCCCCACCCCGCATTAAACTCCCCCACTGTGGGAACGCCGCTTATAGGGGGGAAGCCTTTGGAAATCAAAATCTTTGCCCTTGAAATTGTTTGCCTGTTAACCTACCTTCTTCAAAGATGTGCTGATCTCCAAGAGGTAGGCTTGGCAGAATTTGTTGGTTTTTTTTGTTCAATAATTTCCTTTTAAAACATTTTGACTGTGAATCAATTTAAATTTTCATAGTTGTGGGAAGTTAAGGAGGGGCCAGGCACTAATTATTTAATGACAGTAGATGAGATTCAAAAAGTTAAGGCTTTTATAACCATTAAAACACAAGTTGACAACAGTATATGTCAAAATATACAAGGTAAATATCCTTAAATCAAATACTAGTACATTTTGAAGCAGAATTTTTCTTACATTGGCTAGCTGTAAATTTAAATGATCATGGATGGAAATGTGTCTGTTTGTGTAGGTACGGTGAACTCAACGTTTACCAACAAAAATCTAATCCTTCCAAGCCTACAAATGATCAATTCATCAACCACAGATTTCAGAGTAACAGCCGTGTTAGTCTGTATCCACAAAAAGGAGGACTTGTGGTACCTTAGAGACTAACAAATTTTTTTGAGCAGGTGCCACAAGTACTCCAGTTCATCAGTGATATAGATAATGGCATAGAGAGTAAAGTTTGCAGATGATACCAAGCTGTGGGGAGGTTGCAAGTGCTCTGGAGGATAGGATTAAACTTCAAAATGATCTGGACAAACTGGAGAAATGGTCTGAAGTAAACAGGATGAAATTCAATAAGGACAAATGCAAAGTACTCCACTTAGGAAGAATCAGTTGCACACATACCAAATGGGAAATGACTGCCTAGGAAGGAGTACTGTGGAAAGGGATCTGGGGGTCATAGTGGATCACAAGCTAAATATGAGTGAACAGTGTAACGCTGTTGCAAAAAAAGCAATCATTTTGGGATGTATTAGCAGGAGTATTGTCAGCAAGACATGAGAAGTAATTCTTCAACTCTACTCCGTGCTAATTTGGCTTCAACTGGAGTATTGTGTCTAGTTCTGGGCACCACATTTCAGGAAAGATGTGGACAGATTGGAGAAGTCCAGAGAAGAGCAACAAAAATGATTAATGTCTAGAAAACATGACATATGAGGGAAGATTGAAAAAATTGGGTTTGTTTAGTCTGGAGAAGAGAAGACTGAGTGGGGACATAACAGTTTTCAAGTACATAAAAGGTTGTTACAAGGAGGAGGGAGAAAAATTGTTCTCCTTAACCTCTGAGGATAGGACAAGAAGCAATGGGCTTAAATTGCAGCAAGGGTGGTTTAGGTTAGAAATTAGCAAAAACTTCCTGTCAGAGTGGTTAAGCACTGGAATAAATTGCCGACGGAGGTTGTGGCAGAACCACCCCGGGGGCGGAGGGAGGCAAGTGGGGCAATTTGCCCCAGGCCCCGGGGCAATATACTATAGTATTGCAACTTTTTTTATGGAAGGGGCCCCCAAAATTGCTTTGCCCTAGGTCCCCTGAATCCTCTGGGTGGCACTGGGTTGTGGAAGCTCCATCACTGGGGATTTTTAAGAGCAGGTTGGACAAAAATCTGTCAGGGATAGTCTAAATAATACTTAGTCCTGCCTTGAGTGCAGGGGACTGGACTAGATGACCTCTCGAGGTCCCTTCCAGTTCTATGATTCTGTGAAATAGGTTCCTTTGTGCAAAACATAACCAAACAAGTTGGAAGGATATTGCTACAAGGTAAAACAATGGAAATAATACATAAAAAGTGTTGGTACCAATCTCAGTCCCCAGTTCTACAAAGAATTACTGTAAAGTATATGAATGGTCTCATTAAGTTGAGTGGAACTACAGCAGAACCTCAGGGTTACGAACACCAGAGTTACGAACCGACGGGTCAACAACATGCTTCACTTGGAACCGAAACTACACAATCAGGCAGCAGCAGAAATAAAAATTAAAAAAAGCAAATCTAGTACAGTACTGTGTTAAAGGTAAATGACTAAAAAAAAAAAAGGGAAAGTTAAAAAAAGATTTCACAAGGTAAGGAAACTGTTTCTGTGGTTGTTTCATTTAAATTAAGATGGCTAAAAGCCACATTTTCTTCTGCATAGTAAAGTTTCAAAGCTGTATTAAGTCAATATTCAGTTGTAAACTTTTGAAAGAACAACCATAACATTTTGTTCAGACTTACAAACATTTCAGAATTATGAACTACCTCCATTCCCGAAGTGTTCGTAACCCTGAGGTTCTACTGTAGTGACATGCTTGAAGTTAAGCATTTGTGAAAGTCTCTGCAGAATCAGGGCCTTATTTAAACACAAGTAGGAGAACCCACAGAATGCGAAATCAGTTGATTATCAATTAGTAAATACATGCGTATTTCATACCTGTTCATTTATAAACTACTAGCATTAATAGAAAAAAAGTACAATTTAATAATTCATACTTAGAACTACTGTAAATATATATATTTTATATATACTTGAACCAATTAGACAGACAACCTATATTTTTTATAATCTTCACATGTATATATACTGTCTATAATGCGGTTATAAAAATGCACTGATATAAATACTATAATTTCATTATCATACTATTTGGATAACATAAAGACTAGTATAAAATATACCCCTGTCTAAAAATAATAATGAAGTCCGTTCCCTTTTTGTAGAACACTGATGCTAATACTTCTATACATATTTATGGTTTTGTGCTTGAAGTTCTTATTAGCTGATCCTGTGCAAGGTAACTGAAATAAGTTAGCTAGGTGTGTTGTTTTATATCTCCTTCTAAAGCATCTAGCATTGTCAGAGTTAGGACATCTGATTAGATGGACCAGTGGTCTAGTCTATTATTTTCTGGTGTTTAAAAATGTCTTCAGTGAAGTTTCTCAATTAAAAGTAGTTCAGCTATGCCCCCAAATACTTGGCTCATGGGTTCAGGACCTTCAAATATGGTGGGTCAAATAATTCACAAGCTGTAGTTATTTTTACACTCTTCCTGGGCAGGGATTCAGGGGATGCATCAATGACATGATGTTCTGTAACACTAGTGTTAGTCTTAATTTCATTAGTAGTGTCGGTGTAACCCCCATTTATTTTCTAATTTCATGGTGTAATTACAGCTGCTGTTTCTACTTGCTCTGAGTTGATATGGAAACGTTCCCAGACAAGGTGTCAGTATAGAGCCTTGAGTGACTGCAAAGTAGTAATTGTTATTTCATCACACTAGAGTGAGTGCAGGAAGTTAAAAGCCATGTCTGGTAGCTGTTTTGATGCTGGTGTAGAAGGCTTCATTAAGGGCAGACATTCCTGCATATACACACATCTCTCTCTCCCCCCATTAATTAGGGCAGACATTCCTGCATGTACACATACCCCCCACAGTTAGAAGCTCCTAGCCAATCCATATTGAGTTCTGTTGGGGTACAAAACTGGTGAACAGTTTGAGCACCAGTCAGATCCAGTCCAGCTCTGCAGGGAGAAGATAGAGCTGCCAAGGGTAACCCAGACCGAATCTGTAGGTTGGATCTCAGTGCAACTAGAGCCCTGCTTGGATACACAATTGATATCCTTGGGTGCAGATAGCCATGGATATAAAGCAGATATCTGCAGAGCTGCAGGGTTCTAGCGACAACGAGAGAGACCAGCAGGGCCATGGCCAGCGACCAGGCCAGGAACCATAGCAGTGAAAGCAGAAGTATGTTGGGCTGCCACTTGCAGAAGCCAGTACCCAGCTCGGTCAGCTCCTCCAGTGTGCCTGTCCCTTTTAAAATTACTGTGAGTGAATGTCTATTTGCATTGTAATGGATTTTCCAGAAGAGCAATTTGCTAAACAGTATTTAAGGTTCAAATCCTCATCTTTGAAGTCAAGGAAGCCCTGTTGTTGTATAGCCATGCAGGATCTGGGCTTGATTCTCTAGAGGGGGAAAGGTTTTTCCCTTTTTCTTCCCCTTGTAAGATTTTGTGAGAAACGATTGAATAGCTGTGTTACCTGAATATTTAAGAAATGGAGAGCTCTGCCAAATAACAGGACACAGCACTGGTGCTTACTGCAGAGCAAACTGATTGTTAAAGATGGCTCCTGCTAAGGATGGGATCTGGAAGTGCTTCTCACAGCTTATCAGAAAATGTTTGGCAAATCTGTGGTGTGAAATCTATTAAATGCCACCCTACTCTGCGAGAGTGTCTGGAATGGGTGGTAGTGAGGAATAATAATACAGATATATTCAGCAAACAGAGCAGAATTTCTAAGTCTTCTCTCAGAAGGAGCAGATACAGTAAGTCTGAGGGAAATGTTTACAGAGAAGGAAAGGCAGAAATTAAAGACCTGAGTCAATTAGGGCTTGGCTACACTTGCAAGTGAGAGTACGTTAAATCAGCTCCAGGAGCCATAACTCCTGAGGTGTCCACACTGGCAAGGGACTTAGAACGCCTGGATTCTGCAGCTGGAGCGCTCCTGGTAATCCACCTCCATGAGAAACAGAATGCTGTATATCTGCAAGTGTAGCCATAGCCTGAGTCTGTGTTGTAGAGTGAAAGGAAGGGTGTGGCTGGAACGATTATGGCTTTACCAGGCACAGATTGAGTTAAGGCCATATTCTGTTCCTGCTTGCTGAGCACCTGAAGCCAGCACTTCTCAGGATTTGGTCCTGTTGAAACGGCAGAGAATGACTTGCCTGCGACATACACTGGAAGAGAGAGACAAATCAGCATGGTACGAAGTGGCTGTAGCTAAAA